GAGTGGAAGAAGAACCGTTTTGTTCTTAGGATTGCAGATTGCGGTGAGTAAATGTTTCGGGTTTCTTCCTCAGTCGAGGCATGTAGAACGCGCGAAGCCGCCCGGCGGCCAAAATAAACGATTTCTTGATGCCAACAGCAGTCGCGACTATTTGATTATTCGACGTCCCGCGATTGTGCTTCGAAGTACCCCACAACATCGCCAACAGCCTACATCAGTTTCCAGGCCTACATGCTAACGCCCGTGATGTTTGATGTTGTCGCAGCACGTACTGTAGATTGCGTCCGTGTTTTGGGTGATTATCCCATCTTGTCTGCGTACCAGCCGGCACGTTTGGGTGCACGTTTTGACGCACCAACCTAGGTCACACAGGAGGAACTCAACCGTAGGAGCGTTTGATGTTCACCCCACGAGCCCTGTCTCCATTTTTTGTAGTTATTTGCGCGCAACGCGTGCCAGATTCGTGCTGGAAGCCCACAATTGCTTGCTTGTTAAGCCCCTGGTTTCGCTGCCTCTTCTCTCTCTACTCAGCTAAAGGAGAATGAACGCGGAGGCATCGCCAAGACCCTGAGCAACATGGGACTGTACAACATGGACATGGACAGGATGACCGACGAGTCGCTTGCGGAGGCGGCCACCCTACTCACACCCCACTCAAGCTCCAACCAGACACTCAAGGTAGAACACTATTCCTAGTAAAATATGTATGTATATATTTGTCGGTGTCGGAATTTCCACGCCCCGTTTAGTTTGTGCTTGCGTTGGGTAACGCCTGTGACCGCGTGAATGTAGCTCTGCCTTCTTGGCGTCGTATTTGACGGAAGAGGAGGCACTTGTACGGGATGGAACATAGGCATGTCAAAATGGTTCCGTTTGGCAGCAGGTGCAACGGTTGAACGAACCCTCTCACACATCGGCTGCGATCAGACCCTCAAAGGCTTCAGTCTACACGTCTACCACCGACACATATATCCCTGCACTGCCGTTTTGATTGTCTTTGGGCTTGTGTTCTTCGTGAAACCACGGAACCACCAACGTCCTCTGTTTGTTGGCTCGTCTGTCGCCAAATTATTCCCTTCATCTGTGGCTAAATCTTCCATCCCTACAAAAAAAAAAAAAACAGGTGGTGGACGTCGAGCCGAAACGGCTGGTTCTTCTGGTCAAGGGACAGCTGCTGCCGCGCCCCCCTACCGACACACACCCTGCAGTGGAGATGCACATGGCCCCGTGCCTGCTCACGGACGTCTCTGGCCGCCTAGTGTTCAGCAAGGACACCAAGATGTTTCTCATCCCCGTCAGCGTGGTCGAGAAGTCCAAGTGCGTTCGTTTCTCGGGGCACGCGCAGCGGCCCGGCCGTTTCTGATCTATGTGTAGACGCGGACGGGTTCATGCGCAAGGACGGCGTTATTTTTTTTTTCGGACCGAGCATGTCCTTCTCGGCTCGTGACTAGACTATGGTGTATGACATCAAGATTGGGAGGCAGCCGTGAGCGATTCACACACGCAAGATAATACTTTTCCGAGGCGACAACTTGTAACACTGTTTGTCGTTGCTTGTAGTTTTGAAGAATGATATTCTCTATCCATGGATATAAGGACAAGTTCGCGATGACCGCACAGTGTTGCATGTGGACATTCGCTGGAGTAATGTTTTTCCTTGAAAGCACCGGATCCCAACAATATCGGGGCTCTGCTTCAGCGGGTCTCGCTGCACCCTTCCCCTGTCCCCTCATATCCTGGTGCGCGTTTTTGGCCTCTCGCTTGCTGTTGTTGCAGGAAGTACACCTCCGCGAGGAGGACTCGGAGGGAGAAGACTGCACACCGACAGGACACTATCCAGGCGCGCGCCCCCCCCCCCCCCCCCCCCCCCCCCCCCCCCCCCCCCCCCCCCCCCCCCCCCCCCCCCCCCCCCCCCCCCCNCCCCCCCCCCCCCCCCCCCCCCCTCCCCCCCTCGTTTTATTCTTGTACGACAGCGACTGTGCCCTTCACACAAAAACCCGTGTATTGTGTTTTTCGCTCAGAGACCTCCGTGGCGATTTTTTTTCTGAACACGGTCCTTCGTAATTAACGTACTTGTGCCGTATTAGTTTTCCACTCTGTCGTGTGGGATCTTGTGCGCCCACGCCGTTCGATGTCAAATGGAAACCCTCGACCGAAAGCGTTTTCAGCATAGAGTTGGCAGCGACTGAGAGTCTTCGTTTCGGGTGTTCGGGTCACTGCGATACCACATGCTCTGTCTTGTCTCCTTCGTCACACTAAAACATGGAACAGTGTTGTTTGTTCTTGACTTAAACCACTAAATGATGCTGCACACGCCCCCTGGACCGCCCTTCCTCGCCAGGATCTGAACGAGCACCGCCTCCCCGGAGTTAGGCACGTCGGGAATGATGAGATGGACCAGATCAAGCAGGACGCCCTGGGGGTCGGGGCAAGGACCGACCTCAACGCACGGCAGGCGCTCACCCGCAAACACAGGTGCCAACACGCCCACTGTAGTTGTCCTTGTCGATCCGACGACGTGCCAGCCGAGGGAGTATCAAGGCGTTCATGTACAAATCACAATTTGCACCACCTTTCAGATACAAGCGGTTACCGTGTTTCGTTAATGATTTGCTGTTGGAGCGATAAGTTGTGCGACGTTGGGCAGCGACCGTTTCATCCCCTTACATCCCCCAAAGATTCCTCTTGGTTCTTGGTTCCGTCATGTTAGAGATGCTCTCGCGTGTCGTTACGACGACGACCCACCCCTTCCTTTTCGGATGTTGTTTCGTGATGTTGCGGTGCCACATCTCCCGCAGCGAGATGGCCAGGCGGGCAAGCGAAACGGCTTTCTACGAAGATGACGGGGCCCGCTCGACGTCTACTCCAGAGCGCGGGGGCGACGGGGGTTCCGTGGAAGGGGGATCCGCGGTGGTCGAAGATGCAGAGGCGGGGATAGCACCGCGAAAGTCTTTCGTGATGAAGCGCGTGTGGGGCGGCATGAAGATGGTCGAGGTGGGCGAAGAGAAGGGGCTTGTTGTCGGCGTGGAGTGTTTGGTCTTAGGTTCGATCACGAGGAGCCAGGCTTTGGTTAGGGACCCGCTTCGCAGTCCGGGGATGGGCAGTACTTGATGGCGATTAATGATATGTTGATTGGACGCCGTGCAATGCCCTTTGGTACCTGGTGAAGCTTTTGTGTACGCCGAGAATGCTCGTGTCTGGCGAAAGCTGCACGATCGCCTAGTGACCTCTCTACCGCCCCCTTTCCTCCCGCCATTGAAGGAAGATTGATGGAATCAGCGAAGCGGTCCACTGAGCCCTTGGCAAGGCAATCGAAGCGCACCCGAACAGTTGGTCGTGTCTATGTTGAGAGTCGGGGTCATGTCTCGGCTTGGAAAGATTTTGCGATCGATAGACGACATGATTAGGCCTCGTTACAAATGATTGTCCCTTCGCTTGACCAAAAACAAACACGTATCGCTGCAGGTGGACGAACACGGGCACCCGGTGGCAAAGGCCCAGCTAGGGGCCATTATGGAGGAACGCGAGCGCGCGTCGAGCACGGTGTCCAACTCGGCGAGACCGGACCAAGACGGGGGTGAGTGGACACCCGCAACGGCCAACACGTACCTTTAGCAGCCGCCGGGTGAACCGTACACTTTCAGCAACAGGGCAAACGCTCATGTCAAAGGCCGACACGTGCGTGTAGCGGGAACAGGGTAACACGTACACTTCGGCAACACCACAAGCACCCATGTGCCTACGCTGTCTACTACTAAGATAGGATCACCGATAACACAACCGCAGCAAGAGAGATTTAAGGCTACATGCCCAAAAGTCTGCGGGAGCATTTGCTTTAAAGAGAGATACGAGCTTTTTCAGAATTTGAGGATTATCATTTATCAACAACGGTGAGCGCTTTGACCATCGCCATCGATTGTATCCCCTTTGAAAATGTGACTTCATCATAACGCATTCTTATGCAACAATCTTTGGTCCGACTTTGATGGCTGAGAACGGGCGTGTAGCAATGACTATCATAGAAGTGAGTGTGGCGAGTACGAGGGCTGAGGCATCGCCGACCAGCGGGAGCGCTTGCACCATCGAGGTCTTCTCTTTTTCGTGCCTTTTGCCATACCTCAACCATTTTTTTCATCCACCATGTCCGGAATGGATCAGTTTCTCCGATTCCCTCTACCGCACCCCCTGCGTCAAGGCAACAATCTGTGCAATATTGCGATTGGGCTCGTGGGGTTTCAGCCCAGAGATAAACACGTCAACTTAGCCAAGGCGCCTTGACAATACCCTCCCGCCCGGACGCGTATGGTGTCATCCTGTTAGGTAGTAAAAGTGGCGGTACTGGCACGGGAGGGCTTGCGACGTTAAGAGGGAGGCTGGGATCGGCCAGCAACATCATAAGCGCGCGCGTGCGACGCAGCTCTAGCGCCTCCACCTGGGAGGGCGACGAGAAGGAGGCCGAGGTACGTCTTGCCGTCGTTGCCGTCGTTGTTGTTGTTGGTGATGTGGTCAGGATGCGTGAAGGTTGGCCGGTGATAGATGACTTGGAGACATTAAGATTGCACACATCGCAGACATGAACATCACCACCGTCCCTCCTCTCCCCGCCGCCGGCATGGGCTTGGCACAATTGTTGGTTTGTCCATCTCACGCTACCAGTTTTTCGTTCCTTTGCGACCCCTTCCATTCCGTGGTTTTTCCACGACCGATACCTTCCGTGCGACCGTCCCAGTCGGCAGGGGACGGTAACTACAACGAGAGACCACCGGTGGACTGAGAGACGCCTGAGGGGGAAGTGTGCGTCTGGGATAAGTAGGACGCAGCCAGCACCTTTTGATTGACTCCGTTTGGGGAGCGAGAGGGTTACAAGTTTGTTTTCCCGTGAGAGTTGCTGGCGTGAACGAAGATTATCCTTTTGGGAACAAGGGTTGGAAATGGCGCTGCGGACATGCCCACTGTTTTTTCTTGTACGGGGGGTTACGTCCCCGTCCTTCTGGCGGGGGGGGTAGGGGGGGGGAGGGGGGTTCGTCGCCTCCTTGGTGGATTCTCTACCGCAGGGGAGAATGAAGACGAGACTTGCTCTCCTGACGACCATGGGGTTGGGGAGAAAAGAGTCCCTTCCTGTCGCAGAACCGATGCGATGATACCCTGAGGCTGTCAGAGGCAGTGGTCAATTCTACCACCATCGGGTTTTTGGAGAGGAGAGTAGGCTTCCCGGCCTAAGCCTTGGGCTGTTTTTTCGACTGTTTTGCATATGTCGCACTTTTTGCGTCTCTCCGTGCCAAGCATACAACATTTTTTGCGCTGTTTTGTCGTGTATAGACTTTCCATCGCCTGTGCTATGCGTGTAGGTATTCTCTCTTGTGGTCGTGTATAGATTCTGAACGTTACGCTGCAGCGGGGCCGCCTTGTGACGGGGCATGAACATCCCGTTGTTTCGCGAAGTGAATGTTGTCTACATTTAACCTTTGGTGATGCGGATGGACGACAACGGTCGAGAGGGGATGATGCCCCGAGCGGTGCTGATTCCTCCATCTTGCCAAAAGGTTTCAGCACTCTACCGTGCATATTTTTTCGGTTGGTTGATAGATGCAACCCCTCGTACAACAATTCGTGACTGTTGTCATTGTGACACACGGCGTACGGATGTGTGCGCGAGAGACGGCATGAGTCACACAGGCACGCTCAGGGCCAAATCCATCACCGCCGCGATTTCCCCTTGTGTTAGAGGCGTGTTCCTTTGCATTGTTATGACTTGCGTCTGGGCGACCACCTGCGCTCGTTCGTGTTCGCAGACGCACACTGGTCTCAGGAAGAGATCCTCCGTGCATTTTTCGCCATGTAGCGGTATAAACGAGTGTCGTAGTACGTACATGCCATATTCCGTGTCTTCGATGAAATACTCCAGTATGTATTTGGTTTAGCTTAAGGATATCTTGAGATGATCAGGTTATTAGAAATCCAGTAGAAGTCTCCCCTGGAGATTTTTGACAATTTGTTTATCAATACCAGGCATCAGGACGACAACGGCATCTGGGTTGTTATTAACTCTCTGCGATCGGAAAGGAACGTCACGTCGCCTTTTTTTTTTGTCCGAGAAGCGGCATACGAACGCCCATGCATGCTTGACGTTCACGGACACCGGATCCTCTACAGCGCGCACGATCTTGGGCTGTACGTCTGAGATATTGGGCTGATGACAGACACGCAATACTACAACAAAGTTGCATGCGCCTTTGTCACTCGAAGCTAAACTGGTTAAGCCTGTTTTGGCGAGACGTCATAATTTGTGGTGGTCGCTGTTCAAAGGACGCATTAGTGCCAAAGGATTTGGCCGGCGGCTTACCGGGCACGCTTCACTACTGAGGGCATGAGACAGACCTTGATTACCGCACGGAATGCGTTTCACGCGATTTGGCCGGCCCTACACGTGGCGTTCGCCCTTATCGTTGCGCTTGTGCATTGTGACCACAGAAACTTCAGCATCAAGTACAGCATCATTAGAAGAAACGTTCGCCTATCCCGCTGGATTCCTTCACAACGCTACCCAGTGAAAAGGGAGGGTCAGGCGCAAACTCACGACAGGGATTGAATGGTCCGTCGGTGACACGACGACTTGATTTTTTTCTGGACCTCAGTTGCGCTTACAACAAGATGGGCTCGCTAACCGCCCCGGCCAACGCAACTGACACCATGCCGATGAAAGAGGGGAGCATACAAAAAACAGAGGGCGACAGGCAAATATTATGGTCGATGGCAAAAATCGCGCGCGACCCCGCCCACTACGACTCCCTTCAGCAGCGACACGTAGCTAATTTTCCAACAGCGAACAAAGGCCTTCGGGTCGTTCAACAAATCGAATGGCCTGCCGATAGCCTGCTGCGCTCCTACACGGGTGAATCCCCCGTCTGCCTATGCTACGGATCTTCCCCCATGTTTCAACTTTCGATAAACGGCGAAACGACAGAAGAGGCTGGCTGCTTTCGGCACAATATGTTTAGTTCTGGCGCACAAGTGCGCTATTCTCTGCAAAGGGAGTCGCGCCTACTGAGCAGGTGCGACCGCGCAACTAGACGCAGCATGCTGCCACATCACTTGTTTCTCTTTTGCCGAAAGCCCTTCCGAAGATACCCCGACACGACTTGCCCCACAAACGTCGCATTACCTCGTATGCTCAATTTCCGCATTCTATCCCATCAGAATGCTGCACTCTATTGTACGTCATGACAATGCAGCCTCGTTCCCTGTGGCTCTGCAATATTAACGGCGTTTACGCACAAAATTTTGTCATCTTCCGAACGATCCCATCTAGGTCCGATACCTCCAAAGAGCGTCGGATATCGGCTTTCATGTCTATTCGAGTGCAACCCCGATCGCACTCCGATCGCGCGCAAACACCACCTATGGTGGCGTGCTGATACGAGTAGTTCGTGTGCGTACACGATCTGTACACAACACACACAAAACACATATTCCACTTCAAGAATGACGCGTTGTCACTGGTCGATCGGCAAGCGCGGTCGGTGCTTGTGAAACAGACACACAAGACACAAAGGCACACAGACATCCACTGTCAACCGGTTCGTGCGGTCAATGCTAATAAGAAAGGCACACATTCGCACGCGAGCCTGCCACCGTTTCGATGGCAAGTTGGGTATCATGTGGCGCTGTCGACGAAGAACAAATAAACACAACCACCCATGCATACAAGGTTGATTTCCGCGCGCCTGAGCAGCCCGGGCAGATGGCGCATGGACTTCCCGCCCGAAAAGCTTGCCTACGGCGTCGCTTCAGTACAGCAGCACATCACCCGTGCTTCAAGGTATCAAATCAACCATGCACGCCCTCTGTAGTGAATGATTTTTCGAGACACTCCTCATCTGCCATCCCGCTGTTGGATACGCGGAACGATATTAACAAGAGAGAACAGAACAAAACCTAAACCCGCTGACCCCCCGGGGATTTTGACTAATACAGCATCTACCGGTGGCGCTTGCCCATCCGGCCAAAGTGACACCAAGCACGCTACGAAACACCTATTCCGATTCGTCAGACAGCTTTGGCCGAAAATAGAAAGCCGGCGCTACGTCGTGGCATGAACATTCCCGAAAATTCCCACCCCCAAGGGCGTGGCCTCACGAACGATTAGGTCCAAGCAAGAACGACGCCAATGCTTGTGTCGACCAGCCGGACACTGAAACCCAACGAGCCATCCCTATGGCTGCTGCCACCAATACCGCCATCAACGCCAGACCACGCGGCTTGGAAAAAATGAAACACTTTGCCCGCAGTTTTGATATGCCGACCGCTATCGTACCGATGCTCTGTCATGGGCGGCGGAACATTGGCGGTTTCCGTGAGTCGACGCCGTACGTGAACTAAACTTCAAAAGCGCCTTTCTTGCAGTGGTGAAAAGGATGGAGGAAAAATCGGAAGCACCTCCAATTTCGGCAATTCAAAATGTTGGACAAAACTTCGGGCATATTCAAACTTGGAACCATATTATCCCGGGTACGAATGTACGCTCGTGAGGTGCTGCATTATAGCTAGAATGGGCGCAAATGCACACGGTGCGCGGCATTCGGACTGCGAGGCAGTCCAAAATGCCACGGAAAAATCCGCAGGATATTCCTCTCTGTGCGAACTCCTATCGCAAAGCACACACGCTCACACATCCCTGCTGTGACACGGGAGACATGGCAATGGGCCTGCCGCCGACAACCTATCGCATGTCGGAGGCTTGGCATAAGAGCGCCGTCGACAAGGGTGCCACCTGGCCCCCTCCGCAATCGGAAACGGGCGCAGAGAGCGTCGCTGACAAGGACACCGCCTGGTCCCCTCTACAGCAGTCGGAAACGGACGCCGCGACGACCTGGTCGAGGGCAGAAGACCCTCGTTCCGATGGCTCTCCGACGTGCTCTCTCGGAGCAAAGCAAGGGCATCTTCCCAGCCAGCCATTGCCGCCTCAAGTCCACGCCGGGTTGGGCATCCCGTGCTTCGGGGTATACAAGACCAACCGCCGCTTACAATCCTAACCCAGCGGGGACAGGGAATCTTCCCTCCTCGGATGCCTCTTGAGCCACCTCTCCAGGACGGTGAGACCGATGATTGCCACGGCTAGCACCCCGGCTACGACCGCGATCACCACGGGCGTGGACCCAGCGCTAGGGACAAGCTCAGTTTCCACCGGCACGGACCTTGTGGTGTCGAGGAAGACAGCCGCAAGGTCAGGCGCATCCAAAACTGTCGGCGCGTCGCTCCCAACTCCGAAGCCGCTGGCAATCGTAAAGCCCGCCAGGACCATCCGGCCATTGTACCCAGAGCCGCACGAGCTCACGCTGTCGACCTCGGTCCCTTGCGAGCCACCCTGTGGTTGTCAACGTCCCGAGATACACGCAGGCGATTGGCACGAATGTCCGTACAAAGACGACCGAGCCAGCTCTTTGGCGTGCAAACCTAGAGGACTTACACCCGCACGTCTGGAGGAGATACAGGGATGACGGGAGAGAGTACCGATTCCAAAAACCGGGGGATGGTCTCGCCGCAGTAAAGCGATGCCAAACCAAGCCAAGAACGCGAACAGGTCACGACGCTGAAGTGTCAGAGGTTTGTGCTTGCCTCGAACATGCGGCGCCCCCCCCCCCCCCCCCCCCCCCCCCCCCCCCCCCCCCCCCCCC